ATATATAATAAATTGTAATATATAAAATCAAAAGTATAAATAATAAAGTAACATAAAATAATATATATATTTTTAATATAAATATATAAAATTAAATTAAATTAATAAAATATAAATATAGAATTAATTGACTTGATGTTTATGACAAAAAATCATTGTACAAGTTTCAAAACAATCAATACCCCTATTAAGGGGGTGCGGTTAGCACTGCCCTTTAACTAATGGTCAAGTCGTCAAAAGAAGAGTCACATCAATATTATAATTTTTTTTACATACAAGTCCATATACATACCACCTTTTGCTAAATGAGTAACTGATGATTAATTTTATAAACTTTTAAATTTAAAGATGAAAAACGTAATTTAAAAAAATGAGTGGATTATTCTTGTCATAAACCCTCCAATCTCCTCTCTTTAAGCATCCTTTTAAAGGGGTAGGCTAAATGCACCCTTATGCATTGCTTAATGCACCCCTATCCATGAATTTTTTACTCACACACATCAACATTAATACATGTTTTTTACATTCCCAATACTTGAATGACCTGATTCTGACATCAAAAGGGGTGTCATTAGCACTCCCCCTTTCAAAACCCTTCATTTCTTTCAATTCCGTTTACTTTTTGGAACATTGTCACCAAAATCTTCTCTCTCCTCTCTTTCTCTCTCTTCCCTCATTTGTCTCCCAAAAATGGGAGACAAATGAAATCTTTTAGCGATCAAAAATCAACCAAAAGGGTTTTGAAACAACCCCAAACGGGGTTGTTCAACAACTATTGAGTCAAAATCTTGAATAATTTGATATTCATCTCCAGATTTTGATGATTTTGGGGAGTTTAACACAAACGGAACGATCAAAGACCACGACAGTGGTTTCGGGTTGTTTCCGTTAAGGAAGCATGGGTTGTTTTCGTGTTTTCCGACACAAGGGCAGAGGTGAAACACGAATTGTGGTTTGGTAGAAAGTTCGACACGAGGGAAGGGACGGAACATGATTTGTTTTTCGATGGAAGGAGACTGTTTTATGTGTTTTAGGAGACGGGCGAAGAAAGAATCAACTCAAGGGAAGATGCAGAATGTGAATTGTTTTCCGTGTTTCCCGACACGAGATCCGACGCATAAAATGAACTGTTTTCCGTGTTTTCGGGTACGGAAGATGAACTTTTTTATGGGTTTTGCGGTACGAGATTCGACCCAAGCAAAGACGGACCCGACGTGTGGAAAGAAACGAAAGATGAATGGTTTTTCATGTTTTCCGACACGAGATTCGACGCATAGAAAGAAACAAAAGGGGAGTTGTTTTTCATGCTTTCGGCCCAAAGATTCGACACAAGGAGAAACAGGGAAAACGAATCGTGTTTCGTGTTTTCCGACACGAGCAAAGAACGATCCGACACAAGGAAAGATACAAAAGACGAATTATTTTCCGTGTTTCCCGAGACGAGCAAAGAACGATCCGACACAAGGAAAGACACGAAAGATGAAGTGGTTTTCGTGTTTTCCAACACGAGCTAAGAAAGATTCGACGCAAGGAAACGCACGAACCACAAACCGCTTTCTGTGTTTCCAGATAAAAGGGAAGAGACAACGTATGAGGTTGAGAATAAAATTGAAATGCCGTTTAATGCCCGCTTTTCCAAGTAGTAAGAACCGTTCTCCGTTCTAGAATCACATTTCTTTAGAGCGGTCGACTTTAACGACGTAAAACACTCATTATCGTGTTATTGTGCAGAGAATAAGAGAAAGGTTCAAGCCGAAATCCAAAACCATGTCGTTTGTCCCCTTAAAAGAGCTCGTAAGGGCGCTACAAAGAACATGGCCGGTATCATACACGAACCCAACAACAATATTGCCGTGAGAACTTTCCCGTTGAATGAGCTATCGACAGCAACAAAGAACTTCAACGAAGAGTATCTGCTCGGGGAAGGTGGGTTCGGGCAAGTCTACAAGGGAAAACTCGAGGAAACCGACCAGGTAATCTTCCAAGAGACTTTCGGTACACAAAAAGTTAAAGAGTACATGGAACCCATTTGAATTATGCCAAAAGAGATGAGAGATTCTTACGTATATAGTGGTTTGATCGTCAGTGTCTAGTTAACGTGGGATTCCAACACGCCCCTCAAAAAGGAGGGGGCATGTTGGAATCTCACGTTAATGCAGTGGACCCCAACATTGATGTTGGGAGGTTTTTCATTTTTTTTGGAATTTTCCCTCTTAACCTCCCCCCTCTCTCTATCTATCTATCTATCTATCTATCTATATATATATATATATATATATATTTGATGATCCGTGTATATCTGATATGGGACTCCTAACCGAAAGGACTCTTGTTTCTTGGTATCGTTCTCTTTTTTTCAGATCGTAGCGGTAAAGCAGCTAAAGCTCGATGGGTTGCAAGGAAAAGGAGAGTTTCAGGTAGAGGTTATGATGCTAAGCCATCTTCATCATCCGCACTTGGTAAATCTAATCGGCTATTGCGTGGATAACGATCAACGACTACTCGTTTACGAGTACATGTCGGCTGGTTCTCTAGAAAACCATCTACTCGGTAAGCAATCCGCTCTCGTTATGCATGCATCACGTACGAATACTTGTCCATGTCATACGTTCTTGATACTTGCAGATCTCCCGCCCGGGAAACCTCCAATTGAGTGGTCGAAAAGGATGAAAGTCGCGTTGCATGCTGCAAAAGGTTTAGAATATCTGCACGAGAAGACCAATCCACCGGTTATCCATTGCGACTTAAAGCCCTCCAACATATTGCTCGATAAGGATTTTAATGCGAAACTCTCGGATTTCGGGCTAGCCAAGCTTGCTCCTGTTGGGAATAAGTCGCACGTACCGACAAGAGTGATGGGAACGGCTGGTTATTGTGCACCCGAGTATCAAAAAACCGGTAAGTTAACTGTGAAGTCGGATGTTTACAGTTACGGAGTCGTGTTGTTGGAGATCATTACTGGAAGGAGAGCCGTTGATTTGACAAGGAAAAGCGAGGAGCTACATCTTGTCCGATGGGTAAGTTCATATCGTCCTCCGAACCCTATTTTCAAGGTAACTCATAGAAACAGTTGCTCTAGTATTCGGTGTAGAGGTCCGATTTGGACATCTGACCTCGCAGATGCTACTTCCTAGGAGACATACTACGTGTGGTTTGGTATGGTTTGTATTAAGTTACATATAGTATTAACTTTCTTGTTAAACAGGCGGAGCCAAGGATCAAGGACCCACAAAAATACTCGGAATTGGTGGACCCGCTTCTCGAAGGAAATTACCCACGGGCCGATTTAAGCCAAGTACTAGCCATAGCAGCCATGTGTCTCAGTGTCGATGCATCAGTCCGACCTTCGATCAGTGATGTGGTCACGGCTCTCGCGTTCCTTGTGCAGGATACGGTACAATAAAAATGACTAGTTTGCCCATCGGACCACGGCCTTTGTAAGCCACCGGGAAATCGCCACCGGGTTCAAATGGTCATAGGAACCAACATGTTAGGTGTTGAAACGGGGGAGTTGATGAAAGTGATTGTACGATTCTTTGAACACATAGCAAAAGGTTTAAGTGTGTGGCACATTCTCTTAAGCCTTCCTCGATCGCATACCATCAAGGTTCTAAACGGCATGAGGCTTGATATGACAGCGACGCCAAGCCTCAAGCCTTGGCAGCCATGACAAAGTCACGACATTTTTCAAGGCGTGACTTAAGACGGCAAGTCTCTATTTTATATATATATATATATATATATATACAAACACATACATATATACAGTCCTATTTAGAAGAAAACTGCAAAAAATGAAAACCCTAATAGCCATTCATCTTTACAGATGATATTGCACCGGTATGCACACGAGGGTTTTCAAATATATATGTAGATAAACATATGTTTCTAGCATCACCAAATGAGTTGATGATATTATATAATTCAAATTAGGTTATATATTAAAAACTAATTAAACAAGGAGTATTTGAATCATTTTTTTTCTTAAACTACAAGAGCACGAAAATCGATCTTATAATACGATCAAATGCAAGTAAATAGATCATATAATCCGATTATATGCAGTCACAACAATGATTTCGGAAGTTTATGCCGTCCAATGAAATATTCAGAAAAGGAAAACTAGAAGAAATCGCGAAGCCTGTTTCAGCTTTGTGCTGCTTTCATGTGCCCATATCTCTGCATCACCTTCTTGGTTGCGAGCGCTGCGGCCTCGCTTGCACGAAACGTTCCGCTTGCCATGATTGCAGCAAACTCTTTCCCAATCTCTTCTTGCACCTTGCTCCTTGCGTCCCCGAGCGGGTCGGCTATTGGTTTCTGATCTTGTGGCGTTCCAGCGGGAACAACTGCGGGAGGAATCGTGTTCTCATGGGTCGACTTGGTATTACCGTTGCTAGCACTAGCATTTTCCTGTGGTCGAATTTGGATGCTTTCTGATGATTCATTGGGTTTCTTTGATACTTCTGGAATTGTTTGCACTGGAGATGGCCTAAACTGAGGAGCTTGTGGGACAGCACCCGCCCTCAATGTGGTCTCGAGATTCTGGATCATAGGCACTGCAACACGGAGCAATTTGGTACAACATATGTAAGAGCGTTTCCAACGGGTTTTTCTATAATTTCTCCAAAATACAAAAGCAATAGTGAAAATCTCCAAACAAAATTACACTTAACTTGAAAAGTTCCTTCATTTAGGAGATTCTAGCATCAATTATAGTACTGAAAGATTCAATTCATATAATATCCCAACAAAGTTTTTGTAAAATGAACCAAAGAACCTTCGGCCTAACGGTAACGTAGTCTTTGGCCTCCTAGGAGGTCAAGGGTTCAAACCTCACTAAAGGTGAGGAGGGTGTGTGAGTTTATTTGTTGCATTTGCCGAATATAAGAAAAAGTTATTGTAAAATGATATGAAAAACAATTAATGACACATTCTACGTCCTCTAAAAACAAATCCTTAAAATTTAAGGCGAACTATCTGTTCTCCCTCCTCCTTTCTTCGTTTTGGAGGACGATTTAGGGATTCTGTTTAAGCCAACTTTTAAAAAACCCTCCAAAATCTCTAAATTTCTCCGCTTGGAAAAATTCTAAATTCTATTGGAGACGCTCTTAAGAATCCCTACGCATTAAGAATCACTTGCCTTATCAGGTAACATTCTTGACCATTAAAACATACCCCCCCTCCCAAAATAAGTCCACATTTCTATTTTAGTTTGTCTAAAAATAAGTGTATTTTCAAAAGTAAGACTCTACTTTCATTCTATCCTTACTTATGAGATGGAGGAAATATCTCACTGTATTATTAGGGCTAATAATAAATCTGTCATTTAGCTAACTAGAAAGTATAATAATTGCATATTCCTAAAACTTTGTGCCTTTTCATATGGAGGAGATAGATTGTTGGTCGGTGTCTTTTACCGGATACACATCTTCTCCCTCACTTACTAGGTAAGATTCTCGGTACTTGCCATGCTCACCCGGGAAGGTAAGTGACACCCATTAAGTGCTTCGCCGGCAAGCGTTTGGTAAACGGCCCTTTACAAGAAAAGAAAGAGAGAAGTAATTGATGTCTTACTTATCAGAGCTCCCATTGGACTATTCATGACTTCATTTGGTAGGTTGACGATGTACTCTGGGATAGAGGCACCCACCAAAAATTGTGCAATTTCATTGCTAAAATTATTGCAGTTATGTGTCAGTAAACTGTAAGTTTCTGCTGTGTAGCGCGGACTTATCTCCTGTAAATACATCTCAAACACATCCTTCGGGACATGGGTAACACCAAGATCAATCACTCGGAGTGGAGCCCCATATGGTGCTGTTCCAGCCGGGATTTGTTGGATACCAGCCCCAAAATAGTACTCGGTACCATATACTACCACACCTGTGTGCCTGTTTTTAAAAAAAGATGGCCGATTACCTGTAACAGTTAACTGCAAGAAGGAAAGATTGTGAAAGAAAGGAAGAAAATCAGAGGGTTACCAACTTACCATATGGCTTCAATAGCCTTCCCGAGGAATGACATAGAGAGTTGGCGAGCTAGGCCTCCACTTAAATCATATGCATGCAAGCTCACCTTATAACCCTCCTGTGGATGAAGTTTCCAAGTGATTATTTATAGGGCCACACAAAAACCCAACCAACCCGACAAACCGAGCCAACTCAAGCCGATGCATAATCGAGTTGTAAAATCCTCAGACGTTAGGTATTGGATTGGAATTGGGCCAGTCCCATTTGAACCCAACCCGACATACCCGGCCAGTTGCATTCAATACTTCTTCGTTTTGAAATTTTAGTAGCATCTGACAGTGGCAACAAAATTCCCGTTTGTCGTTGTTTGCAATATATTGTTTGTTATTGGAACTTGGATGATTGTCATTGTTGATTCATGTATTTTATTACCTTCTCGTTGTTTCGAGTTCCAACTTAAAAGGTTTGATTGTCATGTTAACACCCGATCAACCCAACCTGACCCAACCCAAGCAGCAGATGTTGGGTTGGGTTATGCTTTAATATTTTTTTGAACTGGTTCAGATTTTTTAGTACCCCACTAATTGGGTTTTTAAATGTCACCAAACCAGCCAACACAACCCATATGCAGTGCACCCAAGTTATCTGATATCCCAAATAATAAATCTACACATATATAGAGAAAGGCATATCAAGTAAACCCTTTCCCCAACAGCACCAACCACACCCGAGAAATCTTGAGAAGTGAACTTCGTAAGAGAGTTGTGCAATGTACAAAGTTACTTAGACAATGAATAACGATTGAATGGGCAAGTAAAGCTTTGTACCTCAGCCATCTTTTGACTTTAAAATGTAAACGGAAGTTGTGGATGCTAGAAAAAATTCCCGGGTTCTGAAGTTTTCACTAAATTGACAGATGGCGAGCTCTGTTCAGAGAAAGAGAAACATGGGTTACAAACACAAAAAAGAAGATGATTGACAAAAGAAGTAAGAATCATCTTCAGTAGAGGTAGATCATGCAAAAAGGTTCTCCCTTTGTGACCACAATGTCAAGGGTCAGGATCACAGAAAGTCAGAAACAACCTCAATGCAAATGTAAGAGAAATAAAGAATAACTATAAACAATTGCAAGCAATGAGCCTTGATACGATGGGATCACGATTCTTCAAGTAGAAGCCGTGCTAAGAACAATGCTAATGTTCTATGGTCTATGCTACAGAAATGTAGGACATTTTCATGTGGAATAAAAACACAGATTTACACGAGAATGCGACTATCTGCAAAAATTCCTATTGTATCCCTGCTGTTTTCACGAGTTATGTGCATCTCCAAATAGCATGTCAGATCCGCCCATAAATCCTAGCTTCTTAGGAAATTAGATTTGTTTCTAATATATGACTTATCTTTGAATTAAAGAAATTATTTGCAGAATACAACACCAACCCCATGTAAAACTATATTTCTACATGATGTCCAAGAAATAGACTATAATAAAAATCCAATTGGATACACACATAACATCTATTCATCCACATAGATGATTCAAAAGCTGCAGATTGGAATATAATATCACAAAACAGTGCTAGTCCATATAATTATTAACACAGCGGTAAATAACACCCCTGTGGCATCTTAGACACTATTTGAATGTATACCAAAATTTAGGTATGCAAGTGTTAGGATTAGGATTAAGGGTTATTTATGTAATTTTGTTGATTGTCTTAACCACCAGAAAACGATAAAAGAATACCCAATAAGATAAGTAGATAACAATGTTAGTTTGTAACTTCAAATACAAGCCTTTATCGACTTACTTTCTTGGTTTACAGTGTCTTGTTCATTCAAATAAGTATAGATGATTAGCGTTTATATGCAAAGTTTATCTAAAATGATATTCTTGAAGTTTGTTTCAGATATAAGCGAGCAGCCCCGAGAGAGAGAAAATGCAAATAGATAGCCATCTTAAGATAGTTTTATAGACTCTTTGGCTAAAGAGAAAATCGTCAGGGATAACTGCAGAGTGGGAGAAACTGCCAAGTAGAATTTTCCATCTAAAACATAATTTCTTTCCAACAAATGAATCGTTCAAAACTAGGGTAAGCAACTTAATTAATCCAATGTCAAAGTATCAACAACGCACAATGTGTTAATTCTAAAACACCGCAAGAGAAGATATCTGAACCTAAGTAAAATTTTCCTACGGAGAATATCACAATTCATTAATAATTAAAGCAAATCTGCAACTTTTTCCATTGAACTTTTGATTTCTAATCGAAACATCCTACGTAACTCGATACCTTTTCTAACATCACAAACTTCATCACACACCGACACACGCATCACACTCAGATCGTCTGGAAAATCCAAAAACCCTAAGGATTGCGAAGACATGAACAAATACGATGAAATTGCATCAATAATATCTCACATGTAGGCTACAATTGATGCACGAAACAGGGAAATTGTTCAAAAATTTGGGGAAAACTTGGAACAAACATACATAAAAAGGAATGTATATATCAAAATTCACATTCAAAACGAGATAGATGGAGAGAGATGAGGGTTCCATACCTGAGATTCGAGTCAAATAAGAGGAGCGCAAAGAGGAACAAGAACCCTGGAGTTGAATTTATAGAGGGGGAGAAGCGCAACAACCACCTCGGTGGAGTTTTCTTTTCTATGGCATTCTAGAATCTACCAATATAGAGACCATTTACGTTAACGTTTTCTTCATAGCATACAAATTTGGTCCCTCTAGTTTGTCAAAATATAATATGATCATTATAGTTTGTAAAAACGTTCTAGATTTGATCCCTCCCTCTAACGACCGTTAAATAAGGGGCATTTTTGTCTTTTTATTGATTTTTTGTATTTTACCCCATCGAGATTGATTATATGATTTTGCTTCCGATTAAGTGTTTGCATAGGGTCAGTTCGAGTCGGCAAACCAAAAATCCGGTCGGATTTTGGATATGAAAATCAAGACCCGAATTTTAGGTTTCGGATTTTGGATTGCTTTGGGTTCGTGTATTATTATAATACAAATCAATTGATTTTGAGGATGAATTCAATAGTTAGTTTAGAAATTAGAAAATATTTCGACCAACTAGAGTTTACGAATTTCAAAAGATAATTAGACAAATAAATATATTTATATAATATTTAAAATATATATGTATATTATTTCGGATTTTCGGACGGGTCGGGTGGCGAAAGATCAAACCCAACCCGAACCCAAATATCCTTCAAAAGTCGGGTTTCAAATTTCGTGATATTCGGGTTTTACACAAATACCTTATTTTTGTTCGGGTTCGGATTTCGGATTATCAAGTTTTGCGCACTCCTAGCCCTATATATTTAATTGGATAAGAGACAAAAAATCGATAAAAGGACGAAAATGTCTCTAGTGTAACATAATTTTTAACAATTCTTAGAGGAAGGGACTAAATATGAACTTTTTTCTATTTTGTAGATTGGAAATACAGGGACGAAAGGTGTTATTTTGACAAACTTCAGGGACCAAATTTGTTAGTTTACTCAAAACTAAAATGCTTTTATTTTGTATTTTTTTACTATTATTTATATCTTCTTTGACTATTTTTATTTCTTTTTTGACTTGAGATAATACCATATTCTTATTTTAAGCGGTTTAGGAACATGTGATTTTTGTGTATGTCTATGTGTATGTGTATATATATATATATATTATAAAATATTTGATAAAAACTTATAAAAATCATTTTTATTTATAAAGTACTATCTATTGATGCATATTATTTAAAATTTAAGATTATAAGTGAATTGTACGTAAATACAATTTATTAAAGCTTAATGTTTGAATTTGTGTAACTAACTACAGATAAACATAATTAAATAGAGGATAAACGTCTCTATTTAAATATAAAATATCTAAGATATAATTTGGATAATCATTGAGTTTTACAAAAAATTATATTATTAAACAAAAAAAAGAAATACCCCAAAAAAGGAGAAATTTTAAATGATTAGTTTCGTATTAATATCAATATAATTTTTTTAAATTTTTATGCTATCTTTATATTTATATTTTATTCAAAAATAAAAACATAATTATTTTCTCAAAACCACATAAAAATGTATTATAACATCATCTGAGACATAGAAAAAGTAAAACATTAAAATCGAGATGTATCTCGTTGCATTGTACGAGTACTCTTCTAATATATATATATATATATATATATATAT